GTAATAAAAAAAATATGGAATGCCCTTAGAATGACACGTGGCAAGAATAAACTAATTAATTTAGAGTAAAGATTAAATTCATACATAGAAGTGTGGGTCAGATTTACATTAATCATATTCATAACCTAACTAGAATGTAGAGGAAATAACTACAAAGTGGTGAAATAAAAAACATATAAATTAATAAAAAAAAATTATACATTTTAATGATTAAAATATTATATTTGTTTATGATTTTATAATTCTTTTTGTTGCACCGCTGTGTAATTATTTCCCCTAGAATGTAACTTTTACACGTGCGCCCACCATAGATTTGTTATTGATAATTTTTACCACAATAACTTCGTAACTTTCACTATAAAAAAAAAATATATGTATATTATAATTTTGTTATGGTGTACCTCTTTTTAAAATTGCATATTATAACTTTTTCCTAAATGGTTTGAACCACATATGATGTTTTGGGAATTTAAAATAAATTATAAATACATCTTTTAAGATTTATTTAAAATATAAATTATTCCATATTAGAAATATATTTCAATTAACAATTCAAATAATTTTATTGTGTACAGGAGAGAAGTTAGATATTTCTTTTTTTTTCCTAATTTTATTAAATAAAAAATTCTAATAATGGGATATTTGTAATTTTCAGAACCATAAAGGACAATCTGTATTTTAAGTAAATCTCAAATAATAAACTTGTAATTTATCCTAAATTTTAAAATAAAAATTTCGACTAGGTAATATTATTAAAAAACGGAAAACCAAACAAAACTCATGTAATGAAATCCGGATTGTCTATAATGATTTTTATATGATTATTGTATTCTCAATTTTTTATTATTGGACTGTACCTTTAATTTTTGTAAAATTAAATCTGAATTATTCAAAAAAAAAAGTCCCAAAGTTTATTATTCCTCTTGTTTTCTTATCCTATATAAATAATAATAATAATTCGAAAAAATATTTTAAAATCATTCTTACCTGGTGTAATCAACCTGAAAATGTCAATATAATTAATATATCTTTATTTGGAAGTAGTACAAACGTGCGAGGCCCAAGAGAAAATATCAAAGGTGGGTGAAAGATTAAGGTAGCGTTTGGTAGAGTTTTGTAAATGTGATTTGAGAGTATGAATTATATTTTGAGTTTGTGTGTTGTGGAATTATGATTTGAGTGTAGAAAATTTGTTTGGTAAAGAGTTTTGAAAATAGTTTTGGAAAAGAGGTTTGATTTGAGTGGGGAATTATTGATGTGACATTTGATATGTGATACAAAAATTTACAACTCATAACTAAACATACAATTCAAAATTATTTTAAAGCACATAAAAAATTTAAAAATTTTCAGAAAATATTTGTCCCGATTATGTAAATCAATTGCAAAAAAAAAAAAAAATCTGGAAATCAGCCGGACATCCGGGTGGACATCCGGGTGGTCTACCCACAAGTATGCAAAGCAAGCATTATTTGACCGTGAGGCATGAAAACAGAGCCAAGGCAATCCTACGGACTCAAAAGTCACGGTCCTGTATCTAATCTCGCA